TTGGGGCCTGTGAGGGAGGCAACCAATTGATGTTTCTCTCTCACATCAATATTTCTCTCCCTTACCCTCTCTCTAAAGTTAATATATGTATATATATGTCCCCAGGTGAGGAAAGGAAATGAAGGAAGGAAGGGAGGCAGGCAGGGAGGGAGAGAGGGAGAGTGGGGACTGGGAACTCTGGAACTAAGTCCAGAGTTCTCTGGCTGCTGCTTCATTGCTGTGTACCTCTGAGATCCACATATGAGTATCCTGTTTGAATCAGAGACAGGGGACTGTTGGGAGTCCCTTCCCTTGTCAAGTAGACATGAACTTGCTAACCAGAACACAGGGCCCTTATCACCAAACAATGTCTTTTCAGAAGGCCACTTGCTAGGAAGGCAGGATATGTGGCCAAATAGAAATCCAGGGCTTGGGCTGTCTCTTATCAGCAACTAGCCTTGCAAATTTGAACAGGACCCTTTATCTTTCTAGAGTTCTATTTCCTCTTCTGCAGAATGTGCGGTTAGCTCACCCCTCCATCTGTCTGCATCTGGGAATATTGGAACCCTGCCTTGAGCCCCACTAGCAATTTCTCTCCATCAGTCAACAAAGATTTGTGGACGTGCCCGCATGTTCAGGCTCCTTGCTAGGTGCGTTGGTTGCCCATTACCCTGGTTTCCCTGTTTAAGTTTTCTCTTTTTAAGCAAAACAACAAAAATGTAAAAAATAAAAATTAAAAAAATAGTAAAGAGCCCTGAGATGTTTGGGAGGGAGTTTCTTACTGGGAGATACTTGCCTACCCCCAGAGGAGGTGCTGGGTTCTCCCTCCAAAGTCATAAGAAGCCTCCCACACCCTCTGGCTTATGGAGACAGAGAGGAAGGCATGGGTTTCCCAAGGCTTCCCAGGAGTAGCCCTAACAAGCCTGCTTCAATACTTCATGTGTATGTGTGTGTGTTACACTGTACTTCACATATCATAAAATTCACCCTTTTAAGTGTGTAATTCAATGTTTTTTAGTATATTCACAAGGGTTGAGAGCCATCACTATTATTTAATTCCAGAACATTTTCACCACTCCAAAAATAAAGCTACTGTTTTAGCAGCCATTCTCCATTCTCCCCTTCCCCCAGGCCCCTGCAACCATTAACCTTCTTATCTCAATGGATTTGCCTATTCTGGACATTTCATGGAACTGGAATCATACAACATGAGGTCTTTTCTGACTGGCTTATTTTACTTAGTATAATGTTTTCAGGGTTCATCCATATTATAGCATGTATCAGCACTTTTCTTTCTTTTTTTGGCTGAGTAATAGTCCATTATATAGATATACCATATTTGCTGTATTTCTTCATCAGCAGGTGGTCATTTGGGTTGTTTCCTCTTTTTAGCTATTTTGGATAACACTGCTATGAACACCCATGTACAAGTTTTTCTGTGGACATATGTTTTCATTTCTTTTGGAAAGATACTAGGAGTGGTATTGCTGGGTCATAAGATAACCCTATGTTTCATCTTTTTAGAGAAACCGCCAGGCTATTTTCCACAGCAGGTGTACCATTTTCCATTCATCAGGAAGGTATGAGAGCTCCGATTTCTGTACATCTCACCAACACGTGTTCTTGTCCTCTTTGATTTAGCCATCCTAAAGGATGTGCAGTAGTTCTTCTGAAGCTCTGTAAGAACAAGGACTCCTCCATCTGTCTGGCTCACCACTTGTTATCCCAGAACTCAGTGTAGAGCCTGGTACTTATTATTCATATTTTGTCTAAAAAGTGTTGAATGAATAGGTAAATAAAAAACTAGTTAGATGGTTACAATACTTACTGATTGTAGGAATATAGGAAAAAAACAACATGTTCCAATACCCAAGAAATTACCTTTGAGTGTCTAAATGAGAAATTTGTGCACACCTAAGATCCTAATGAGTGATTTGAAGAAAAACAAGAAAGCCTTTATCTCTCCAATAGAGATCTGTCAGGGGATCTGGTATTCTTTTTCCTGCACGCTACTGAACCACCCCTTTTCTGCTAGGTAATCTTTCTTCAGGGAGGAAATTGGGTTAAATTTAAACTTTCACATTTTTCTTCAGATCACTCGTTAGGATCTTAGGTATGCACAAATTTCTCATTTAGGCACTTAAGATAATTTCTTGGGTATTGGAACATTTCGTTTTTTCCTTACGTTCATTTCTCCTACAGTACTTTTTTTTTGATCCTCACCTGAGGATATGTTTGTTTTTTACTGATTTTAGAGAGAGAGGAAGAGGGAGAGAGAGGAAAAAAAACATCAATAGGTTACCTCCTGTACGTGCCCCGACCTGGGGGATCGAACCTGCAACCTGTGTTATGTGCCCTGACTGGGAATCAAACCCATGACCCCTTGGTGCATGGGACAACTCTCCAACCTAGAGCCCCACCGCCAGGGCTCTCCTACAGAAACTCTTGACTTCCTTCTGCAGGGCTTTTTGCTCACTCTCAAGCACTCCATGCTTGCAAATAGCTTTTCTCCTGTTTCTTTCCAAGCTAGTCACACTGGGACAATCAATACCTATGACAGACCAGTGCTGCTTTTTTTTTGGTTTTCTTTTACTATTTCTGTACACCCAAGAAACATCCAAGCCTTTAGAGAATTTTTATAAGAGTTTATGTGAGCCAAACTGATGACAATTACCAGGAAACAACATCTCAAATGCTCTGGAGAGTGACGGTTTTGCAGTTTCTTTTATACACTTGGACTTAAGGGGGAAATATGAGAAAGATTACATGAAGGTAGGAGAAAGCAATGTACAGGATAGTTAAGATTATGTGCTCCCTTGAGGATGGTTACACTTTCCTTCAAGGGATCTGAAAAAGAGGCATATCAAAGGTGTGTTAAACTAGATGCACAGAAACAAATGGACAGGGCTTGCTTAATGGAAAGATAAAACTTTTACTAAAGAAGTTACATACCTGGGATGTGACTACCCATGATGACCTGTCCAGTTAGGAATTTATGGTCAAATCACCCTGTGAGGTTACTTTCAGTTAGATTCATCACAGCACCCCTTTTTTGTCCAATTCACTTGGAAGTCAGCTAGACCAGGTGATGCTCATAGACAGCACTCAGTACTTGGAAATTAGTGAACGAATGAATGAATGAACAAGAAAACGTGAAAGGGATATACTGAAAACGCAGACTTCATCAACAAATATTTATTGAATACCCATTGTGCCCCAGGCCCTGTGATACATGCCAGGATAAAAGGTAAACAAAAGACCCCTCAGGACACCGGACGAGGAAGTTTCTAAAATCACTAGTCCTAGCTGCATTATATTCCCCTGTCTATATCTTTTCACCTTTTATCACATAACTAATGGTTTTCAGGATCACATTTTAGCTAAGGTATCTACTCATTTGTTTAAGCCCAAAATAAGTTCTGATGGACAGTCCCCCAGTGCGCTGCTAAAAATGCCCCAAACGCTAAATGTCCTGATCTTAGGGGTCCTTGGATGGAGAACCTCCTAAAGAACCGACAGAGCGTCCACCAGAGGGTGCTGTGGGGGCAAATTTGAGCCGGGAGGTGAGCTTGACCAGTGACCCTCGGAGCCAGGTAGGCGTCTTCAGTAATCTTTGCTCTTCCTCAGGTTCCCCTCCCACCCCCTTGAACCATCGCCGCCCCTCCCCCATAGGTGGTTTCCTCGAATAATTAGCCACTTTCAGGGACTTAGCGCTTTCTTTGAAAAGACCCCACGCT